GAAGGGAAGGGTGAAATGTAATTACAGTATAATCACAAAAAGAAAGTTTTAAAACAGTAAATTAAAAACAACGAGTTGTAATGAAAACTGCTCTGAAACCCATGTTATAGACTTGACCTAGAGAGCTACAGTAAACACTGACTCTCAGTTGCTTATCCAAGGTAGAAAATCAGAAAACCCAGAGTTGGATGTGGTGGCCCATGCCTACTCTCTCAGCCCTTGAAGAATGGAACAACAGGACTGCTTTGAGTTTGAAGCCAGTTCGGGCTACAAAATAAGACCCTTTTCTCACAAAAGCCAAAGAAAAACAAGAACCAGGAAATGTATAATCTTGTCTATGTCGTTTGAAGGGAGAAATTCAGAAAACCGCACACAAAACACTAGAGCTTTGGTGACCTCTTGTGGGGTAATTTGTTAGTAGCCCATATTAAATGGTTCTAGAACAGATGCTAAGACAGGTTTTTTTTGTCATGTGGGAGGGAGTGCAATGATGGGGATGCTAAGAGCCAACATCCCACCGCAGCTTGGGAATGTCTATACGTACATAGAATTGCCAATGAAATGAAATAGTTTGCAACTGCATAAAGAGAATATACCCAGCAACTAAATCTAGGCTGTGTAGTAATTTGGGCACAGTGGTTTGGATTCATGTCATTGTTTTTCAGTGAATGTCTTTGTTTTCGGTGTGCTAAGGAACATCATTTTCAGATATCTGTAGAATGAGCATGTCCTTCACAAAATCACTGTCTTAATAACCAGATGCTTTTACTTCTTATCTGCTATGAAATCTGAAACAAATGCAAGGTTCTGCTAAACAATTTGTTCCTCTTCGTTTCTCACTCCTTGAAAGCTAGCATGTCATCAGCTTTATGACTTTGTCAATATTGGGCTGAAACAGGAAACCTCGATATTTTGAAAACCAGGCACATAAAACGAAATGCTACTGGAGCTCATTGCAAAGCTAAGAACCGAGTCATCTAGCATGCATGCATGTGTGTATACACGCTAATATGTTTCCCTTTAAAGCTAATTTTAAGAGCTTCTGCTTTGGTTATAAACACATATTATACATAAAATAATAATTTCCAATATACAAGGCTTAGAGTTCAACCTTTGAAGCCAGGTATATTAATCATTCATGTCTGGGTTTGTAATTAAGTATGGAAGAAGAGGAACATTAATATTTAGCAATTTTTTTCTCCCTTGCTTGGAGCATTTATCTTGATTTATGTTAGGTATACTACTTAAAATGTTATAATTCTGAATATTGTGAAACACTTAAAATAATTTAAAACCTAATTACATAAATTTCTAAAATTAAAAAATCAGGCAATCTATACCCAAGCACAATAATCTTTATATTTTCTTATTATCTTCTAACCCTCATTTAAAGATAATCATAATTGTACACGGTTACAATGAAGTTACATCTCATTTGAGAATAATACTTTTATTTCTATGGTCTCTATGGTCTTCACTTTGGATACGAAAAGTATTTTATTGTGTTGATATAACTGCATTTGTATATAAGCTGTTTTCAGTTTCCTAGTAACCATGATGCTTCAGTAAGTATCTTCATATAAAAAACTTTAAAATGGCTTTATTAAAGCAAATTCTCTGTAATACATCTCTTTTGAAATAGTTTCAAAACTGTCTGGGTCAGAGCTAAGAGATGACATACTCAGAAAACAAAACAACAACAAGCTCCCAATATTTGATTTGGACTCGTTCATATCAGCAGGGCAGGCAAAGTACAGAGTCCAGGAAAAGGGAGACACCACTGCCACTCCATTTAATTTTAAGTGAAAAGCAAAAATGCTGGTAATAGCAAGATAACAAGATTACCAGTAATGAGTTCTAGCTGTTGAGGAATACAACCATTTCTAAAACTGCTGTGAAGTTTGGAATGGCGAGAAAACACCACTACACCTCTCTCTCTCTCTCTCTCTCTCTCTCTCTCTCTTCTGCCTTCCCAGACCGTGCCATGACCTCAGTTGTCTACACCCCAAGGACAAAGGGGAATGGAAAAGGGAAAGGTGAAGAGGCACATTTGAGTTCTGCAGTCTAAGGGGGTGATCCTCCTGGAGCAGGAAGAAGAACTCTGCATGGAGACTGGAGTGTAGATAATAGCTATCCCAGAAACTGTATGTTTTATTAGTTTAAGAATTTGAGTAGAATGGCATTGAAATATTTAAATATCTGTCCACGTGCTGCCTCCTTCTTTGCTTTATATTTACTCTGTCTTTTCACCTTTGGCATATTTATAACATCATTTGATTTACATCCCTTCTCTCTCACAAATGAGTTCTTTGAAAGTAAGAATTTTGTGAATTTTCTCTGCTGCTAGAACTTCAATCTGTAGTTCTTGAATTAGTAAGTATATTGATAAGGAAGTGTAGCTGGGGAGCCAAGGGGAGAAATCTTAATATACAACTTTGAAAATATAAATAACCTCAAAGGAAGGGATTTGCTTTCTAACGTTTAAATGTTGCAGTGAAATTTTTCAATGCAAAAATCTTTGAACTTTAAGTTATTTTTCAATTCATCTATAATAGTCATAATAAATAAGGGGACTGAAATGAATGCAATTTATAAAGCTACTTCTACTTTATTGTTAGTAATAAATAAGGAGTTTTCTGTGTTGGACTCTGCTACTGCAGAGCTATGCTGAAAAGACTCAGTTGGAAAAAGTGTTTTACATGGGTTCTTTATCCTTTAGGCTGGCGTATCTCTGATGTGCAAGTTAAGATTTATAAACCATGTTGCTAATGCTGTTTCTTTTAAGCTGTGTAAGTATCAAGCTTTCAGATGTTAGTGGCACCACATGGCACAGATGGCTATCCAGTCTTTAGCATTTGCAAAACTTTAGCATTTGTAAGGAATCCTCTTGTTCCATCAAAATTCATCCAAAAGCTTGCTGTCTTCATTACTGTTTTACAGCTGTGAAGAGACACCATGACCAAGGCAACTTAGAAAGCATTTCACTGGGCCTTCCTTCCAATTATAGAGAGTTAGCCAGTGACCATCATGGCAGGTCATGCGGCAGCAGGCAGGAGGCAAGCAGACAGGCATGGTCATGTGAACTGAGAGCTCACATCCTCAACCACTGGCAGGAGGCAGAGAGAAGAAACTGGGCCTGGAATGGAAAACTCCAATATTTCACTACAGACATGAAAAAAATAGACTAATGCAGGGATGGTGAAAGAAATTTTGAGAGGTTCTTGAAAACAGAGTTACTTACCAGCTCCAAAGAACAGATCCAGGAAGCATTTATTAGACCCTCAGCAAACAGATACCAGCCATCAGTAGTTATCTGCATGGGGAAGTTCAGGGATAGAAGAGACTTGTGGATGCTGTTGCTAAACGGTGACTCCAACAATGAGCCGTGGGGTCTAGACGAGGAAAAGATGCTAAAAAAGGGGTTTAAGAAACTGATAGAGTGAATCCATGAGATACATTAGATAAAGATGAGATACATTGCTCAGCAAGAAACGAATGGGAAATAGGGGAAGAGCTGGAAGTCTGATGAAGTATTGGTTATAAAGGGCAGCACAGTTCAGAGTGTATCCAGATTGTCAGATACGGAGGAGAAATCAATGGAGGTCAGTCAAGAGATAAAAGTTTTGGCTGGAAAAATAGAGTAACCTGGAATAGTCTCCCTAAGAAAGCCAGTCATTGGTCATGATTAGGAAGGAGGTTGATAGTCCTCCTCAAATGTACAGAGTGTGTGGATGGGTGTCTAAGGGTACAGAGGAAATATCTGCTGTGCAGAAGATATAACAAGATGACTCAGAAACACAGAAATGAAATAGAAAGCTGGGCCATATAAAAGAACAGGGCTGTAATCCCATTATTTTGAAGACTAGAGCAGGAGTATTGCAACTTCAAGACCTTTCTTGGTTACAGCGTGATTCTCAGACCAGCCTGTGCAACTCCATGAGACCCTGTCTCAAATAAACATGGGGAAAAGGTTGAGTTATATCTTCATGATAGAGTAATGCATAGCACAGGCAGGACCCTGGGTTCAATCACCCATACCTCCCTCAAATAAGAATAAGACAGAAGAATAATAATGTCCCACAAAAATTTATATGCCATCAAGTCACTTAAGTGACCAGAGTAGGAGGTTTTGAAATTATCCTAAAAGCTTTTTTGAAAGGCCCTGTGGTATCAAACTCAAGCACATGAACATTTCCCTAAGAATTACTTCTCCCACACTTACCTAGCAAGTCTGGAATGGAGGGGCTCAGGCAGTTCCTGCCTCCGTTTCAGGTAGCTAAAAAAAAATGTGCTGTTTCACTGTGCTCCAACTAAATCATCACTTTTCCTCCTCTTTAAGCTGGCTCAGTTCATGTTCCTCCCACTCTCTGATCTCCGCAAACCTTCTACCTTATGGTGGAGCTTTTCCTAACTCCTCACACTGAAGGAGAGACACTCCTATAATCGTGATCTTTCTTCTCAGTTTTATTTTCTGCCTCGCCTCTACTTCTTGTTTGCACTAGAATTTACCATCTTGATAAGAGAAAGGGCTTTGGTTTGTTTTTCCTATCTTCACCTCTGTCTTCCTTGGCTGCAGTAACGCCTAGCAATTAGTAAGTGTTCAATAAACACTTGTTAAATGAATGTTTTCACTCAAGGACAGTAGAACCATTCCAAAGGATTTATGAGTCATTTTGTTTATGTCAGAATGGCAGATTACTTAGTCTGACTAAAACTGGTAGTAAAAAGAAAAATGGCATCTAATATATTATTAGCAACACATTAAGCAACAATGAGGTAATTTAATCACAAGGAATTCTTATTTAATCCTTAATTTTTTCATATATTCCTATATCGTAATATTATTTTTATCAAATTTTAGTGAAGTGCAAACATTCAACAAATGTCTGCTCCTACCATGTCTAAGACAAGTTTAAAAAGAGATGATTTTTCTTTCAACAAGTTTGCAAGACAAGAGATACTTATATAAAAGAGTTGTGACCAAAGTACTACTGGAGCAGTGACTGTGTTACCAGAATAATCTGTTGCCAGCGAGATGTAACCTTGATTGTATGACCACTAGTGACCCCAAGGCTCCAATAGATAGTCCACTTCAATGATCACAAAGATCACACTGGTTCAGTGAAAATGGTCACAGAATAAAACTAAAAGTCCTGAACCAGGGAGAGAGGGAGAGAGGAAGGAAGGAAGAAAGGAAGGAAGAAAGAAAGGAAAGAAGGAAGGGAGAGAGGGAGAAAGGAAGGGGAATTCCCCTCTGTATTCTGTAAATACCATAGGTATAAAGAAACTTTCTTGGGCCTGCACAGGGAATAGAGGTAGGAGGGAAAACTAAACTGAATGCTTGAAAGAAGAAGGCAGAGTAAGAAAGAAGCCATGTAGCCCCGCCGGAGACAGACACCGGAACTTTACTTGTAAAGCCACAGCCACATGATGATACACATATTAATAGAAATGGGTTAAATGAAGATGTAAGAGTTAACCAATAAGAAGCTAGAGCTAATGGGCCAAGCAGTGGAGGGAGGGAGGGAGGGAGGGAGGGAGGGAGGGAGGGAGGGAGGGAAGAAAAAAGGAAAGAGAAAAGGAAAGAAGAAAGGAAGAGATTTAGTAGGGAGAGGAGGATAACACTAAGAAAGGATGAAGAAAGATGAAACAGAGTTCATTGTGTGTGTTTGTGTGTATGTGTGAATTGTTAAAGAATGAACTTAATGAGAAAATGCTAATGGATCAAAAAAAAAGTTATGCTGAAGATCCTGGTTTGTTTGTAGGAACACTTACCTTTCCTCAGAGCACCAGCAACATTAAAACAAAACTAATTAAAAATATATTTCAATACATTTTCATTTATTTTGTTCAGGTGTGCACACATGTGTGTATGTGTGTGGGGTGGGGGGTGCACTGACTTGCTGCAGTCAATTCTCTCTTTCTACGATGTGGGTTCCAAAGACTGAATTCAATGATCATGTTTGACACTAAGAGCCTTTACCTGATGACCCATCTGGCCAGCCCAAGTTTCTTTTTTTTTTTCTTTCTTACTTTATTTCGCATATTTCTTCTGATAATTACAACCTACTACTATTAAATATTCAAGCTGACTAGATAAGTAGTAGCTGACACCTGAACTTCATGATCTATATCTCAATAACTGGAAACATCCTCACTGGATCTAGTGATGAAGATCTATCATCCCAGCTACTGGAGAAGTTAAGGAAAGAGAATCCGACTTGCAGTCCTGCCAGGCCCCAGAGTGAATTCAAGACTGTAGTAGGCCATTTGGTGAGACCCTGTCTCAAGTAAAAGCAAAAGAAAGGTTGGGGTTCAAATTCAGTGGCAGAGTGTTTTCCTGACATTTGTGAAACTGGGGTAGGGGGCAGAGAGAGACAGAGACAGAGACAGAGATAGCTGGAGAGACACAGATTATTGAATTACTATTTGCAATATTTTAGCATAATTATATTAACATAATTCTCTCTACTAAATTGTACTTTCACTAAAAATGGAAAATCGTCTTTGAAACCATAACCTTACTAAGACTCTATGGAAAAGTAGTTGTAAAAGTCAGATCCCTCATCTGAAGAAATGTTTATCACACAATACTGCTTACCTCTCACTTACTTTAGGCACTATTCGAGGGGGGAAAAAATCTCATTTTAAAAGTCATCTTTTAACTTACTAAGTATGGTCTTTATAATGTCAGGGTCAGAAAGACTTAAAGAGCAAAACACCTATAAAATAAATATACTGGGATTTTGTCAAGATACTCTGACACAATTGAACAAGATGTCTTCCTGGAGAGTTGTAGCCATGTGGCTTTTTCCATTCATAGATGTGACACTTGGAGCATAAAATCTAAATGCTGATATTTCTAAATTAAACATTATTGTATAGACTTGCAAAATTATTTTTAAAGATTATCTAGTACATCCACATTTCGGTCTGTTTTCTATTCTGCATATCTGAGAAACAAAAGGCAATAATTCTGAATTGTTCAAGAGTATAATTAAAATTCAATGCCGAAAGACTTCAGGAAGAAGTTAATAGCGGTTCAGGCAGTTTTGTTCTTGTCCTATTCACACATACACATAAATCTCTGTCTTCTATGGTGAGAATATTAGAAAAACCCAAATCCATTCAATAATGTATTTGTATATCTATATGTATACACATATATGTTGATTTAATCCAGGTATCCTTCAATAGAAATGTCACATCCAAAAGTAATAAAATGTTATGAGTTTCTTTTTTTTAAAGATTTATTTATTTATTTATTATACAGTATTCTGTCTGAATGTATGCCTGCAGGCCAGAAGAGGGCACCAGATCTCACTACAGATGGCTGTGAGCCACCATGTGATTGCTGGGAATTGAACTCAGGACCTTTGGAAGAACAAGCAGTGCTCTTAACCACTAGTCATCTCTCCAGCCCCATGAATTTCTTTTTTATTGCAAATAAAATTCACAGACATTTTCAAAGGGAAGGAGCTGGAAAGCTGGACACCTTAAAGAGCGTCAAGATTAGTGGTAGGTCACTCTGAACTGGTCATGTCATAGAATAGTGGGGGGATGTGTGACTTCATTACACCCTGCAAGACATAGGCTATGGTTTTTGAAATCATTTTTCACTTGGATATTTATTCAAATAATAACAAATTCCCAACCATAATGATGTCTTATTTTATCATCCTCTTTGAATCAAGTTGAAGCACACAGCTATGGTATGCTGAATTTCTAAAACACAAAGTAAGTCCAGTTTCATGGGTTTAGACTTTCTATTCCATGTTTGAATTTATTTTTTATGGAAATGAAAAATCATTATAGCAGCATCTGGTCTAGTGCCATGAACTTAGTAGAAGCTAAATACTGTTGAAGCTAGAAGAACCATTTATCTGAACTCTGCTGGATATGTTGAATTAGGACTATAATGCTTGCAAAAAGCAAAACCATTGGCTGTAATATTTGAATCCAAAGGACATTTTTGAAAATGACAATTTTGTAAGGGGGCCTAATATTCTACAGAAAGGATCAAATGTTATTCATAAGCATAAATAAGATGCGCCATAATCTAAAGACTTGTTCAGAAAAGCAGATTGTCCAGACTACTGGAAATTCTTACTCTTTAGTATTGTGATCTGATTGGTGTTGGCAGGAGAACCAGGAGAGAACTCTGGCTGTGGTTCTGTAGGAGGGAAACAAGCCAACAGCTGTGGGGGCAAGGTCAGCCTTGTGGATATGGCTACAAATTTCACATCTGAGACATAACACATGAACTCAAGCCCAAGGCAGGCTAAGATTGGTAGTCATCATCTCAAATAAGCCAGGAGGAGGGGGTGAAGTACCGGAAACCGGCTAGTATCTGATGATGATAGTTTTATGCTTGGGTTGGGAGGAGTTGTCTGGCCTGTAACAAGACCTTCATCAGTGGGCTGTAGAGGGAGGAACACTGGGGTAAGATCCAAGTTCCCTGGAGAGGAGACGTTGGCAAGACTAGTTGGCTTCTCAGATCCAGACAATTTGGCTGGGATTCAAGGCTGGAATCCCCTTCCAG